CCCTCCGCGGAAGCCACACTGCTTTTCTTGTATCTGGGAGTCAGTTATTCCACGGCACTTTTTGTCTAGAACACCCCTGTTCTCTTGTCTACGCTGTAGCCATTACAATTTGAGAGAAACTTGTGAGCCAGCACATCCTTTGTTCGCCTAGCGCTTTGAGCGTTTCAGGGCAGATTTCATCAGTTCCAGCAGCCTTTCCACATTTGAGACATTTCACAGTTTGTGTGACTTCATCTCCAGAGGCAGTAATATCCGTTGTGTGCTGATCTATAGGCGAGTCTTCCTCCAGTTTCTCAGGGTTAAGAGTTTGTACTTTCTCCATCGCTGAAGAATGTCCTCATTTTCTTTAAGATAGTAAGAATTTTCCTTCAAGATTCTTGGACTCCTTTTTTTTACCTCAGCCGGCGGATGGTCTGCCAGAATACCTTGTTTTCCGAATGAAAATTTAACCCCAAGTTCTCACCGAACTTCTCTTAGGAACTGGTTTTGGTTTTTGCTACTGCTGTCGCTGTCGCCTGGCTCGTTTCTGCATGTCGCATGTGACTTGAAAGCCCTATGTTTCCAAGCTATTTCTTCAACGCAGCCCTCTTCTCATTAACTGCCACTTGTATCTTTCGTGTTTACCTGGAAGTTTTTTCTGACCTCCAGGTAGAAGACTAGCCCCTTTGAATTCGCAGCATTCAGTGGCCACCACGGTACGCCGCTCTTAAAGAACTCTCTGTTTCAACATCAGAGGTCATCGCCGAGATCTGTTCAACCATCATGCGATGTTGTTTGCAAGTTTCACTCTCGTGTCCGCCAAAGATAATGTTTCCCATTTGGTTCTCTATTTGCTTCTGCTCCCAGAGTCATATCGTTGCGTGGTACTCTATTTCTCACATCGTAGCGTGCCAACAACAAAAATGATGTTCAGTTGTCAACTTTATTACTCTTTTATCGCGAACAACCATTACAGTGTCGTAAGTCATACGGTACGATTGTCAGTTCGATAATCGACTTCTGTGCACTATCTTCCCTTACTAGGTGTATTGGTGCACTTTTCGATGCTTGAAGGATGTGTTCATAATAGACAGTCTGGTGCATGCACAAAACCGTAACAACTTCACGCCTTAGTGTTGAGGTCGCTAAAGCCGTTCTTTCCAGCCAGGCCTATCCACATTTCAGCGTCTATTGCTACATGCGTTTCAAATCACCCATAGGTATAAGGGACTCTGTATTCGGCACTTTGAACAGAGCACACTGTACTCCCTCGAGGAAGGAATCATTCACCCTTAAAATTGGGCGCATAGACCTGTAGCGAGGTCAACGCTTTAGCTTCTTGTAGCTTCAGTCAGAGGATTGTCGCTTCCGCTCACAGGTTGTGCTCACTCCGTTTCCATCGAAAGATTCTCTCACAGGTTGTGTTCAACCAGAACACCCACACAGACGTGATCTCGCGTAGTGATGTCGACCCCAAAGTAGAATAGCGTCCACCCGCATAGGTTGAGGATTCTAGATCCATGGGCTTTCGTTGACTAGAGTCCAAATTTGTTTAGCTTGTATCTTGCGGCCTCATCAGCTTGCTCTCCGAGTGAGGAAATATTCCTGTTTCAGAGTTTAAGTTCCCACTGTGGTGTTGCTTCTGTAGAGCCTTGTCTGTTGTGCTCTATGCCACGATGCTATCTCCTTATTTCGGAACGGGTCGCAACTCCTTTGCTGGCTCGTATCTTCCTCGTCGTTTCGTCGATCTTTGTCAGCCGTTGTTGTGCCGCTGCACCTCCGGCTGCCAGAAAGCGTTGTGCAGGTTCTGATCGCCGACTTTTCTCAGCCTACCTCAGTCCGCCAAGAGCATGCGCGGCCCCTTGATAACTCCGTATAATTTTCGATGCCGGCAATGCGAAAATGCTTAGTTTTATGGAGACTTGGCCACGTTGTCTAACCCTCCTCGTTTCTCATTTGGGCTTTTCACTGGCAGAGGCGAAGTTAATCTTTAAACGTACGTTTAATTTCTGTCACTGCCCTTCCAAACATTCTTTCTTACCAAGTTGGGGGATCGCAACGGAGTATCATCATTATGGAGTTGCTGTTTGGTGTTTGGTTTGTGTTTGGTCACAATGAAAAAATACGTGCAAATAAGTCACCCATAGTCTTCTACACAGAGGCTAAAATTAGAAAAAAATTTTCCATGGGTGTCTAATTGTAGACGATGATTAAAAAGGTAAGGCTGTAGACAAGTCTAGCTTGTAGATATACGACGTATCATCTGAATGCCGTTGCGAATCGCCATATTTCACTCTGAACATCCCGTGTCTTCTCTTTGTGCCGTTCTATTCAAGTATTGTCTACTAGAGGGATGTAAGTTAGGTCGTATTGATGAAATTGCTTACGTATTCTAAGTTACTGTGCTCTAAAATTGAAACTTGCATGATCATAAATCGAAATAACCACTGTCTTCATGAATCTGTCAACGGAATATCCAAATGCTTTTGACTTTTAGTCGATTTTATTACCAGGGTATTATTAGCTTGTGATTTAGTCCCGGCACTGTACCAACAGTGGGAGACTGCGATGGAGAGTATCGTTATGACAAGTCGAAGAATACGATCCACTGGATCTTGTTGGTCATCGACAAGACCTCGAAACAGGGCTCTCTTGATTTTACCACTTCGTCAGGCCACCCGGATAGTTTTTTCCCTGTTATTGTTCGTTTTACTTCCTTGCAACAATTTTGTGACATTAAGGTACTTCGTCGTTAGTGTTTTTAATGAAGATTTTGTTTCGCTTGTTTTAGCCGATTTCCGTGACGCGCATCGACGACGATGCTCCTTTGCCTTTCTCTGAAGAGTCTGTATTCGTTGTGGATAAATATGAAGTTATATGACCCATTTGTAAGGCCTTTGTTTTTCCGCTTGTCATTAATACGGTTTTTGTCACCATTTTCCATGCATAATTAGATGAAGTAAGTAATTAAGTGCTGCTGACACGCCGAATCATCATTATGAACAGTAGTGAATGTGCGGCTTTGAAAAGAACCGCTTGACTAGAGGTATTCTTGCACTTGTTATTTCTTTGTTACTGGCGTTGGATATTCTTATCTTCTTTACGAAGGGACAAATGACTAGCTTTTGATTTGTTGTTGATATTTCGAATTATATTTAATTTTATTTATTTAATTCATTGATAGCATAACTTAATTTATGTAAAAAGATTCAAGATCACGTTTCAGTTTTTTGTGATAATTTTGTTTATTACCTTTAGTTTTATATTGATTGATGAAGCAAAGAAGAATTGAGGTCGTTGGTGATAGTGTGTATGTTGCCTATTTGAAACGTGAGTTAAAACTTTTTATGGACATCTCTGACCAGTTGTTTGGCGTCCTTAACGTCCAGATTCTGATTAATTCCGTTTCTGATCAATGCCATTTTTAGCATATAATAAGGATTGTTGCGATATAAACCGTTTAATTTATAGTCCCATGATTCATGCTTTATATTTTTCCCATATAGTTAATCCGTCGTTGTATTATAGCTGCCTTTTTTTACTAGTGACGAATCAGTTTTCTTAAAACAGTTGCTGTAAGGCATTTTCATGGATCTGTACCCTATGCTTTTAGGCAACATCAGATGTGTCATTCGCCGTTGCAGTTATAATTCAGTCGTTAAGCATCATAGTAGCAGTCGTATAATGGTGTCTTCATATCTGTCAGATAATCTCGCTTCTTCCTTCTGAGAAAGATAGATAGCGGAGACTATGCGTTGTGGTGGTCACTGACCTGATGTGATGAGACACTCCCTTTAAAAATGACATTCCTATTTTGAATGATTGCACGTGTCATGTTGACGTCGTGCCATGAGCATGGAAAGAGGGTATAGGTAATTATCGAACTGTGCAGAAGACCGATAACCCCGATGGTACTAAACTTACTTTCCTAATGACAAAGTCTGAGCTACGTGGAAAATAAGTGCAAAAATGTATTCGATACATTTGAGTTTTATTAGATATAACTCAAATGATTTCGTTTGACTGACGTTACAGTATGTCGCAGCCAGTGTAACCATCTTCAGTATATAAAACTAGAGAGATGAGTTCTGCTGCAACGGTCATGGACTGTGATAGTAGATAGATAGTACTATTATCTACATCACTCACATAGAGTCTGTGAGATGACTGGCAAACACCAGTGGTCGAAGGATTCTAGTTTCATCACGTCTTCAACTTTTTAAAAGAGGATGGCGCTTATTCTTTAGTCTGACATCCCGTCATCTTTACAGCAACTTTCAGAATTAAAGAAAAACCTTTCTTGTTGCTGTCGTCCGAACCATCTAGACGGAAGTTGTCACTGACGCATGTTGATTAACATGCGTCCAACATCCGGAATATTAGTTCAGAAGACATGCTACAAACCTCAAATCAAGAGTGAAACGGCGGAAAGAAAAAAGACGAGTAAAGTACTACAAGAAAATTTTACTTTCATCAGAGAAAAATTTAGAGCTGTTGGGTGAAAGACACTGATACATAAACAGCAAAAAAAATGCGAGAATGTTTTCAAGTTATGAACTGTACAGAAGTTCTGCAGCCCACGCTGAAAACATTTCTAAATGCGCGATCAGGCTGGAAAATATTTTGGAATCATTTTCTGGTAAAGTCGATTATCTGTGTCCAGAAACACGCAAAAAATGATCCTGTCCATCTAAAATTGAACAGATTACGAGCAGCACGAGAAGTAGACGAAAGTAGATAAGTTTTAGGAGGTTTGTGATCGATTAGAGGAAGATTTTCAACCTTTTCAGGGAGTGTATAAGAATTTCCTGACGTACTGCTTACAAAAGTTCTTGCATTAAAAACCTAAAAAGTACTTAAAGCTTTGACGTAAATTTTAATTGTCAGAGTTACACCTTAGATATTATGCTCCTAAGGTAAACTGCCTGATCAGGATAAATGTAATGACCTCTTTTAGAGGGACTGGCAGGAAAACTCTTCATCTACCATACAGAAAGCCTTCGAGTTCAAGGGCTGATCTTTTGTATCAAATATGCTGTCGTGGTTAAGATTCGATGGCTTATAGGCTGAAGGATTCCACGTATGCTGATATGATATTCTCCAGACATGTTTTGGTTTCTACTTTTCAAGCCACAATAATGGAAGATACAACTGCAAACATTACTACAAGCTGGTCTTAGCAGCAACCAGTTGTGCTGGACCAAGCGGCTCATAGCGGAGTTCGAAATGATACAAAGGTTGTGCTTCTTGTACCAACTTCGTAGAGCATCATCCAACAGTGAACTTACGTAAACTTCTGTGTATGGATCCCAGTGATTACCTACGGCGGCCGCATACTCACCCTGGTCTTACTGAAGAACTTCGTCCTACTGAGTGGCTGTCTGAAACAAGTTTTCAATATCAACAGTACAAACAGCGAAACGGACGATAAAGTAAGTTGTACTGAAAACAAGACCTGACTTAAAAATTCTAGACCTGTACATCTGTTGCATTAAAGTCTTGTTAACCGTCGGTCGACGAAGAGAAACGCCGTCACATTACGTGCGCATTCTACCAGTGACCAAGGCACAGCAAAGAGCAGTGGATATGGACATGGTGCGTTTTTCGGTCGAGTCCCTGTTTAAAATCTGGCACAATTATCCTAGTTTTTTCTCCCAGCACCATATACAAGATACCTGTGGCACAGGTGACCTGCCGACGAAATATGGTAAATAACAGAGGATGTTAGGAGCCTGTCTGCG